TTTCATTTAAGGCCTATGAACATGATTGCTAGATGAAGAACGGATATACGGGATTTAGGACCTATAGGCATATTTCTTATATGCATATGCAGAATTTAGATTTCCAGGTACTTATGGACATGATTTCTATATGAGAGCATGCATAATTAAGAAATACTTATAGACATGGCATCTATGTGAGAAAATCAGAATACCTATAGGCAGGATATCTATGTGAGAATGCAGAATTTCAAAAATACCTATATGCAGGATATCTATGTGAGAATGCAGAATTTTAGAAATACCTATAAGTAGGATATCTACTCTTTGAATACATAGTTACCCATCCCTTTTTCACTAGCCATCCCTAAGAATTTATTACAAATTATTACAATCCAGAAAAAAGTAAAAGAATACATCGGAAATTGAAAAGTACAACCAAGGAGAGCCTGATTCGGGCTTCATTTCTGAAATATGAGGTAAACCAACTCCAAGAGATTGTGATCCAAAGCCTTTCTCCCATTTGGATGTGTCAAAGTTCCCTAAGACCTCAAAGGGGACTCCGGGCAATGCTCACACCCAAATACATTATCAGATTAGGACAAGTGTAGTGCGGAAGGGTCAGCCCTCAAGTGTCCAAGTTCAGAGGGAGCTCAAGGTCCCAAGGCAAGGCTCACAAGAGGGGGACAGAACTTAAGGACTAAGAGAGTGTGCAAGTGCAGAAACAGAATTCTGAAAGGGGGAAAGGGAAAAGGAAACAACTACAAATAAGTACACATAGGAGTACAGAGGGAAGAGAAAAGTTGAAAAGACTAGGCAAACTGTGGGTATAGCCAGTAATGGAGAGTGCTAATACACCTATAAGCCTACTAGAACACATTATTAGAGGCTAGGATCCCGAGGGATCAAGTTTAGTTCATGGACAATAATTTGAATATTGTCATGCCTTAAACCATAGCTCAAACACATAGGGGGAAGTGGTTTTGGGATTCATAATAGGAGAAGGTGGAAAGAAATCAGCATGCTAATTCAAGTACAGAAACAGTAAGTAGACATGGATACAAAAGCAATAAAGAAACACATTGTTGTGGTGCTAAAGCTTAAATCAGGATATACCAGTTTCAAAGAAACAAATAGAGAAAAGTAGTAGGTCTTGTAAACAGGCAACAGTGCATACAAGAAAGAATACTATTGTGTATGAATGTGAGTTTAGAAAGATTGTGAATGAGTGATGTGTTTGTGAAAGAGTCGTGCATTTATAGTGTGAAAATCAGGCAAAAATAAGGTAAGAAAACAGTTAAGGAACTGATTATCAATTAAGAATCAATCACACAAGACTTCCCTTAATTAAGAAATTCAAATTCAAATGGTAAAAGTTATTTAAGGGAAGAATTCCAATAAACCTTTTGTGCAAAGCATGCAATTAGGGGCAAATACATAAAAAGTTATTTAAGGGAAAGAATTTTGAAATACACGGTTGCACAAATAAGGTAAGAAAATCAATTAGTAGCCAGTAAATCAGAGTTAGAGATTTTGTAATTATTGGTCTATGAATGAACCAAGTCAGAAAAGCTGAGAAAGGTTTTAACTTAAGTCGAGTCACAGGGAAATCAACTAACAAGGAAAGAAATCAATCAGACCTATTCATAAGGAAGTCTGAACTAATCACAAATTTGAAAGCCATTTTAGAGGGAAGTTCATCACATATAAAGACCATATAAACATGTTAAGCTGAAAGAAGATGTCGTGTTATTGCAAAATCAGTAGATAATAGGCTACAAGAGCATGGTTGTCACATAGGTTAGCAATGTAGAAGAGAAGTAGCATCTAGTAGAATACAAAAAATCCAGTGTAAAAGACCTTAGAAGAGTTTAGCAAAAGTCAGAATCATACGAAAAACAAGGATTTCAAAACTCAGTTCATAGACTCGAAATAGGTTTGAAAGAGTTAGGGTTTTTGAAACAAAACCAGTTCAGGTAAATCACATAGCCAATGGTTTCCAAACTTGGAAACCCCCCCAAATTCTAGGGTTCTACCATCAGTCGAGTGCAGAGATCAGAGGACAACTAATTGAGTCGAAATATGTTCAGAGGTCTCAGAAAAGAACTGAAACCTTTAACATGTTCCTTTCAGCAACAAAAACTTATGAGAAACATGGTAGAAGAGTAAAATGCGAAACACAGTAGGTGCTCAAAGAAAATATGGTAGAAGAAACTAATACGAAACATAATGAATGCTACGAACAGTAGGAGAAGCATATTAAGAAGTATTAGAAGAAACTTAACTAGAACACAGTAGAGCAAATTTAATAAGAAACACTCAAGAACACAGTAGAGGAAATTTAATAAGAAAACACACAAGAATACAGTAGAGGAAAATACGGTAGAGAAACACACACAAGAACACAGTAGAGAAAAACATAGTAGAGAAAACACACAAGAACACAGTAGAAGAAACACACAAAAGAAAGAGAAAATCAGAGAAACATCTAAATATCTCAGAAAAAACCTTAGATCGGAAAAAGAAATGGTTTTGAAAGTAGTTTTTTGAAAGAAAATCCAGAAAATCATTTAAAAACTTAGAGAAAGCATAGATCTGGAACAAATCTAAAGAGATCAGAAAAACCTCAAAACTAGGGTTTTCAGAGGAACCCAAACGGTGAGAAAAGCTTGGATCTAAGCAGGAGGGGTCGAAACCAGGCTCAAAGCATGCATGGCTTGCCGGAGCAGGCCGGAGATGGTCGTGGAACTTGAATCGACAAAAGTTTGGACCAACCCTTCGTGGTCAGGCCACGAGTCTTCAGTTAACCAAACGTGATGATCCATAGGTGGCTTGTGGGTAGTGAAACTACCATGGGTTTAGGTCAGAAGGTGGCCGAAGAAGATGAAAAGGGACCCATCGGAGAGGAGGGGAAGCGAAGGTCCCAGAGAGAACTAGAGGTAGAGAGATAGAGACAAGTGAGGGAAAATGAGGGGTATTAGGAGGGGGGTCGTTTGATTAAAAAAGGTAAGGGCGGATCTAGACCATTGCTCAAAATTGATCAACGACCAAGATTTGATTCGGGTTGGGTTGGGTAGTTTTAGGATTGGGATTGGGGTCTTGGGTCGGTTTAATTTGGATTGGGGATTGAGTTTAATTAGGCCAGATTTTAGGCTAAAATTGAAATGAATTTGGTTATTATTAAAATAGCCAGTTTTTCCCTTTTAAAATTAAAATTAATAGTAAATTAATTTTTGAAAATAAATTGAAAGCATAAAAATGGTTTATAATACATAATTATCAATTTAAAAATATAAAATCTCATTTTATTAATATGAAACGAATTTAAACCTAAAATATGGCTAGTATTGCAATTATGCAATTCTATACTTTAAAATACCAAATAAATTTATAAAAATATGTAAAAAATACATTAGCTATATTTTAATATAAAAATGAGACTCCAATAAATGAATCACCAAAAATAATAATTTTGGGATAATTATTGGATTTTTCTTAATTAAATAGGGCAGTAAATTGATTTAAAAATCTTTAAAAAATTAAGAAAATAATGTAGACTTGGGGTATACTTATATATGTATATATATGCTATTTGAAAGGTATTTTTCATATAAAAATACCGGGAAAAATTGGGTATCAACAGTTGAGAACGAGAAGTACTCCCTTATTCTAAGGTATATAAAGCATTTTACCTGGCAGCGTATGCATTTTTTTTCAATTCATTGCAGACACACTTAGGGATCATTTGGTAGGATGTATTAGAGAAAATAATGTATGTATTATTTTTTGGTATTATTAATCTCTTGTTTGGTACACTTTTTCGATCTATACAGTACTAATGCAAGTATCAGTTATGCAACCTATTTGGTATTATCTTATGTATAACTAATACATAGCAAACTATGGTATTAGTAACACCAACGCTATTAATGCATGCATTAGCACGGTTAAAGATAAAATTGTACTTAAAGTCACATAAAGAGAATATATTTTTGCAAACAACTAATTTTCTTAAACTTCTGCAATGTATTTTAATTTTTAATACACCACACCAAACAGTGGATAAGAAATAATCTTTGCATCACTAATGCTTGTATTACTAACCTGTACATTATTAATACACCTTATTCAACATTATTATTATACACCCAACCAAACGACCCCTTACATATTTGCGTGGGTTATCTGTAATTCTATATGGAACTCAAAAATAGTAGGTTTAGTCCTATTGCTTGAAAATGAAGGTTCAATATTCTTTATCCTAACAATTGATACATGTACAACACTTGTGAACCAGCTTATACTGTTTATAATTATTCATGAAATAAAATGATCATATTGGCATTGACCATAAAATACCACCTTATAATTGTTCCCACACACTTACCTAGAAATGCAAAATATATAGCATCAGCAATAGTCAGCCCTGACTTCAGCAACATATATTGAGAGTAACTGCTTTTGATGTTATATCATATATTCTATCATATTTCATCATCATTAACGTTAATTTGGCTTGTGATCTATGTTGTTCGGACTTTTTAAATTATCGCTAGGTACGTGTCTGATCTCTCCGCAACAGTATTTTAGAGAGTCTAAGCAACATAATTTGGTCTTATAAATATCCTCCACCTAGTGCTGGAGCCCAATAATCGCCAACAATGTCATTTCCAACATGTTGTGTGCAAGATATATATAGGAATGAAGCACAACCCTCTACTTGTTGGAATACATCAATCTCACTCTTTGTTTTCTCAGAAAGATCTAATTTCTCCAACATGCTGAAGGAATATTAATTTGTTACATTGTTAGAATTTCGCTAATGAAAATAGGACAAGTGTACATAATTCATAGGGTAATTTTATTTTCAGATTCTTTTCTAGGTAGCTAATATTTGTATAGATACATAGTCCTCTTGTACAGTGATTTTTTGAGAATACACAGAAAATTTCACAATCATCTTTCTCAATTTTTACATGGTATCAGAGCATTAGCTCTTCTTTCAATTTTTTGAATCAGCCATGTCTCCTCCTTCTGATGTTACTGAAACTCCCACTCCCACCCACGGTTCTTCATCCACAACAACAGGAAATGGAAATACCATTGATTCCACACATCCTTTCTTTCTTCATGCATCTGATGCACCAGGGATGATACTTGTCAACACACCATTTGATGGTCGAGGTTATGCTGGATGGAGCAGATCTATCTTGATTTCACTTTTAGCCAAGAACGAGTTGGGTTTCATTGATGGATCTTGCCCTATGCCAACCCCAACAGATCCTACTTTCAAACCTGGAGCAGATGTAACCATATGGTTACATCATGGTTGTTAAATTCTCTGACCAAAGTGATTGCTCAGTGTCCTCTATTCAAAAATAGCTAAGGATCTATGGCTGGATCTGGAGCACAGGTTTGGACAACCAAATGGAGCCAAATTACATCACCTGCAAAAGGAGCTAGCTGATTTAGTTCAAGGTTCAACAGATATTGCTAGTTATTTTACCAAAATGAAACTATTATGGGATGAGTTAGACACTCTCAACACTGACATGTACTGTTCTTGCAACTGTGAATGTGGTAGTAAGAAGAAAATGCAACAATTTAAGGAAGATGAAAGGATCATTCAATTCCTCATGGGATTGAATGAGACCTATGAACATGCTAGAAGCAACATTCTCATGATCAAACCATTACCCTCAGTCAATCAAGCATATTCCCTTCTCATGCAAGATGAGAATCAGAGGGAAATTCATGTCAATCCTCATTTCCCAACAGATGGTTCTTCATTCCTAGTGAGAAATCAAGCTCCTCAGAACCATCAGACCTCTAATGGTCCTCAATTCTACACTCAACAGAAGACTGGAAACAATTCCTACAAAGGGAAATCTGAATATAAAGGGAAAAAGAATGCACAGATGTATTCTTATTGCAAGATGACTAATCAAACAATTGAAAACTGCTATAGACTTATAGGTTTTCCTGCTGATTTCAAATTCACTAAAGGCAAGAAGATGCAACATACTGCAAAAGGAAATTCAGCTGCTGCCATAGAGGATACATGAGAAGTTTATAGCAAAGTGGTAGAAGGACCTCAGTTTGCTCAAAAACTTTCATCAGACCAGTTCAATCAATTGGTCAATCTTCTGAATCAAATGCAAACAGGGTAGGGAGGTACCCAGGAGGTTAATGCAAATTCTGCTTCTGGTATATTACTTACCAACTCTCCAACCTGTTATTCAATTGCTAATTCTAACCGTAATCACTCCTGGGTCATAGATTCAGGAGCAACTGAGCACATGTGTTTCAATGCTAGTACATTCTTATTCTTATTACCATTACCTACTCCTTTAATGGTAAGGTTACCTAATTCCTCTAGAGTTAAAGTCACTCACTCAGACAATGTTTCCTTATTTCCAGGATTAGTGTTGGAACATGTTCTTCATATTCCTAGTTTCAAATACAATTTACTCTCTGTACATAGACTCTGTCAAAGATTCAAGTGTCTATTGGTTTTCACTTCTTTTGGCAAGTCCCTCTCATGAAGAGTCCACAAGTTTTTGGTGAGGCTAAAGAAAGACTCTACTTAGTACAGCCTAATGTGACAGAGTCTAGGAACCTATCTTCAGAGACTACAACATCTTTATTTAAGAAGTCTTTTTCTAATTCAATTTCAACTTCTTTTTCTTTTCCTATCTTAGCAAAAACAGAATCTGATGTAATGTTATGGCATGTAAGATTGGGGCATTTGCCCTTCAATGAAATGAAACACATCAATTCTATATCATTTTCTTCTACTCCTATTTGTGATTGTGATATATGTCCTCAAGCAAGACAGTCTAGATTACCATTTCCATTTAGTCACATCAAGACTAAACAAGTATTTGATATGATTCACATTGACACATGGGGACCTTATAGGAAACCTACTCATAATGGATACAAATATTTTTTAATCATTGTGGATGATTTCAGTAGAGCAACTTGGACTTATTTGTTAAGCACAAAGAGCAATGCATTTTCTGTCTTAAAATATTTCTTAAGCATGGTGGAAAGACAATTCAATGCTAAAGTAAAGATCATTAGATCAGATAATGCTTTAGAATTAGGAAAAGCAACTGCTGCATCTATATTTCTGCAATCTCAAGAAATTCTACATCAGAATACATGTGTGGGTACTCCTCAACAAAATGGCATTGTCGAGAGAAAGCACAGACATTTGTTGGAAGTGGCCGGGGCTCTATTGTTTCAATCCAAGGTGCCTATATCTTATTGGGGATAATGCATATTGACAGCTACTTTTCTAATCAACAAATTCCCCTCTAAGGTCCTTAAAGGTATAACTCCCTATGAAGTATTATTTAACCAAACACCCTCCTATTCCTTCTTACGAAATTTTGGTTGTTTATGCTATGCCTCTACTTTGTCACATCATAGAGGTAAATTTGAACCTAAGGCAAAGGCATGTGTTTTCATGGGATATCCTATTGGACAAAAAAGATACAAACTATTGGATTTGAATACCAAGAAACTGTTTGTTTCAAGGGATGTTCATTTTCTTGAACATATTTTTCCATTCAGCTATAGCAATTCTCCTACACTAGACCCTCCTTCTCCATCAGTTCAAATTCCTTTAGTTTTTCCTCCTCCTTCAAGTTATTTCACCCTTGACACTTCTTCTCCACTATCAGTTACACCACTATCTACACCCATACCTCACACCCATCCTAATTGTCTTCCTACACACCCAGATTCACCAGTTGTTTCACCTTCTCCTCTACTGGAGGTGTATTCGATATCTGACGGGATGATGGATAGTGAATTGTCTTTGTGTACACATGTTTCACGAATGCTACCGTTACGGCAAATGTGCCTGCATTCAAAGAAAAATCGTAAGTTTTATGAGGGGAGGTTGGTTCGTGCTCCTGTCGGCTGGCTTTGCTTTGCTCCGTTCTGAAAGCCTTTCGAGTTCCCCTGGGTGACACCTGGCTATTATGGAAATAGAATTTTCGAAAAAAATATGCAATCATTGATAAAATAGAATCATTTTTGAAGAGTTTTGATATATCAAGTAATTTTTGTTGAACTAGCTACTGTGACACATTTCAAAGGCATTGCAGCTCTTTTATGTTGGAATTTTGAGGGTCCTCCTCAAAATTCTGCCCCAGTTTGATAGATGATTTTTAACTGTTTATGGATGGCGGACCCTGCTGAATCTTCTTCAGAATTTTGAGAATCCTTCTCAAAATTCTGCCCCAGTTCTTGAATGACTACTGACTTCCTGGCATGTGATGGCGTTGGCTGGATTTGCTCTGGAATTTTGAGGATCCTCCTCAAAATTCTACCCCAGTTTCTGATTTTGGGGGAAATAAAAATTTTACTATGATATGACCAAACCCATAAGGCTGCCTACATATCCCGTCTTAAATGGGAATCAGGTCAAGCGTAGTTCAATTGTTGATCGGGAACAAGTGGTGATGTATTTTGGGGATTGTGGTAAGTGGTGGTTGGTGGGTACTGAATTAGTTGATGATGATATTGTGGTGGAGTTAGTATTAGCAATGGATTGATATTTTGGGGTGGAGTTGCGTATTGATTTGGTGCGCTAGGATTTTGTGGCTGTTGGTTTTGTGTATTTTGAGGAGGTGTTGGGTTTTTTGTGTTCTGTTGGTGGATATCAGGGACATTGATGGTGAGTGACAAGTTTGCCAAATTGTGGACCTGCTCGAGTTCTCCTTGTAATTATAGTATCTTTTGTTCTAGTCTTAAAATCAGGTCATTCGGGGCCGGAGTACTGTGGCCGTTGGAAGTCTCTGCGTTCTCAACGTTTTCCTTTCATATTCCACTTAAGTCGCCCATCTTTGATTTTTCTCTGCCTTTTGTGTTGCTTGGAAGAGGAGGAGGTGGAGGGCCTCTAGATCTAGTATGATATGCCAATGAGGCCAGTATGAGCGAATCAACCTAAGGGGATGGGAATAATAATAAAGATAAGCAAAACAAAAAGGTATCAAGTTAGTGAGGATTCTGAAATGTTTGCAGTATTTAAACACATATTGCAAAATGTAAACTCGTATCCTAATTTGGGAGCCTCGTTGTGCCTGAGGTAGGCCTAGCAATAAATAAATTTGGAGAACTTCAAATGCCAATAAATGCTTCATTTCATAATATAAAAGTAGACGAATCTAAAACGACACTAACATAATAATAAAACAAGTCGCTACTCAGAACTTGGCCTTATTACATTTTAGGAAAAACAAGTAAATCTAATCTATTTGGTCCTAGAAGGACTTCCTTCAGGTTGAATGCTCTCGTTGATCAAATCCTCTAGTTTGCGTAGGTTCACCAGTAAAAATGCCTTTGCCAGGTGTTCTCCTTCGATTCCTTAGGCGTTCTGGCAGTCGGTGACTCTCTTCCTCACTTTTCCTTCCAATTCCAGCAGACTGTATTCCAGATATTCTAGCTTTTTACTAGCTTTGATGGCCCTCTCTTTCCATTCATTGATTTGGTCATTTGATGGAAGACTTGTCACGACCCCGGTTCGCCCTCCGTGAACCATCGTGAAGGCACATAGTCTCTACGACTAGGTAAGCCTAAATTGCGGAAAATAAACCAAAGTGCGGAATAAAAACAATTTAAAACAGAAATAGAGTGATATAACAACGTTTAAAAGTACCGCTCGTCATACACAACATAAATTCTCGAAACCGATACAGTTTTCCCAAAACCCGTAAACCCATGAATCACAAGCTAAGGATCACTACATAGTGCTCTAACTCCAGAATAGTCTAAAACAAAATAAATATAGAAGGGCTGTAACTATAAGAAAGAGTGGAGAGAGACTCCTGGGTCTGCTGACGCAGCAGATATACCTCGAAGTCTCCGAACGTTCACCTCGCCTCAAGGATGGTAAGTCTGAGTTGAAGTACCTGGATCTGCACATGAAAAACATGCGCAGAAAGGGCATGAGTACACCACAGCGGTACTCAATAAGTGCCAAGCCTAACCTCGATCGGGTAGTGACGAGGAAGGTTAGAGCCCTATTGAGACTAAATAAATAAAGAGATGATAGAATAAGATAAGCAGTGCAATTGAGAATCTATAGTAAGAATTTAATATAGGATAATAAGGAATAAAATAATTGAAATAGAGAAAAAAAGACAATCACAAGGAAATACCACTCGAAATAGGGATGAAAACCGGGGATCTCTCAGTATCCTCAATATATATGCCGGGTATCTCTTGGTATCTCGAGGATCTCTTGGTATCCTCAATGTATGCTAGGGATCTTTTGGTATCCCGAGAATCTCTTGTTATCCTCAATATACATGCCAAGTATCTCTTGGTATCCCTCACCTTAGTTCAAATCATAAATACGTACATGGGATCTCCCGGGATGCTGTCCCGTAGTCCCAAAGTAAAACACACAGCAACAACACAAGAATACTCGATTAAGCTAAAATTCGTACCAAATAAAGACAGGAAATTCTAATTTAACATGCTTCACATAATTCAATTAAGGTAGTTTAAGCAAATAAATAGTTAATTCAATTAGAAATGTTTTTTCTAAGCTAACAACAGGTTTAAATTGCAAGTAAAATGAGACATGAAAAAGGAACACAATTGAAATTACTTAAAGAAAATCGGATTTTCAACAATTAGCTTAAGTATGCACTCGTCACCCCACGTACAGGGCATTTCAATTATCAAATATACCAAATCCTAAGGGGAAGGTCCCCCACACAAGGTCAGGCAAGCCACTTACCTCGAACCAGCTCAAATCAATCTGAAACCACGCTCTTGCCACGAGTAATCGACTCCAAAATGGCCCAAATCTATTCAACTCAATTGCATAATGTAAATAACACTTCAAGTAACTGAGTCTACAAAGAAATTCTAAGCTAATACGTGAAATTAGGTAAAATGACCAAAATGCCCTCAGGCCCACATCTCGAAATTGAGTAAAATTTATATTTTCAGAATCCTCATACTCTCACGAGTTCATGCATACCAAAATTATCCAAATCTAAGGTCAAACTCTCAATCAAAAGTCAAATTTTAGGTCTAA